CCTTATCGTTGTTATTGTGGTTGTGTTTCCTGGTGTCGTCGTTTTTGCAATTGCTAGTTTCAAGTAGATTATTAGTCGTTTTGCTAGAACTGCTAGTTTTCAAGTAGGGATTATTATACATCTAATATACTATTATCAATAGTGTTATTACTATGGTTACCAATACTTTAATTTTTCTTATTCAATAATGATAATGACAACGGCAATGACTGTATAATAACAACGTTAATGATTTTAATACTATTATTATGATAATCATCCTTACCATTACTAATACCTATAACAATACCACTTTTGAATATCATAATCTTATTGCATGTCTGTCTCTATTTCTCCCCCTCCCCCCCCCCTCTCTCTCTCTCTAGCTGAGGTATGTATGTGACCTTCTCCCGACCCAAATGACCCCATATCTGACCCCCATCCATAACAGCGACCCTGACCTCTCACCTCCTTCCTCCCTCGACCCTCCCCCTCCTTCTCCCTCGCTCCCTCCCTCCTTTCCTTCCTTCCCTCCATCTTCTAGCCCCTCCTTCGGTCTTCCCTTTTCTCTTGTTATTGCTTCGTTTTCTTTTCTTTATTCTATTTCATGTTTAATAACTGAATGTGCGAAAGTTCAATACACGTTTGTTTCTCTGTCTTTCTTTCTGTCGGTTCATCTGTCTGTCAATTCCCTTCTCCCTCCTCTCTCTCTCCCCTCCCTCCCTTTCCCTTCTACTCAAACCTTCCCTTTCTCTCTCTCTATCCTCCCCCTCCCCTCCCTTTCCCCTTCTACTCAACCTCTCCCTTTCTCTCTCTCTTCTCTCCCCCTCCCCTCCCTTTCCCCTTCTACTCAACTCTCCTTCTCTCTCTCTTCTCTCTCTCTCTCTCTCTCTCTCTCTCTCTCTCTCTCTCTCTCTCTCTCTCTCTCTCTCTCTCTTCTCTCTCTCCACTTTCATCATCTCCTCCTCCATAGTATTACCATGTGTCTTCTGTCTCCCTCCTAAATTACTCCCCTCAATACACACTTCTCCTTCTCTCTCTCCCTCTCTGTCCACATTCGTAATCCTTCGTTGCCTGTGCAGTCTACTTCTTCCCTTTATTAATATCTCTTTGTCTTTCTTTATCGTCTACTTCTTTCCCTTTATCAATTTCTCTTCGTCTTTCTTTATCATCGACTTCTTCTCCTTCGCGATATCTCTATGACTTTCTTTAATCAACGTTACTCGTGGTAATAGTAAAACAAATGGCAGTTTTAATGTTACTTTTATTCCCATCGTACAACTACTTTCACTGTGAAAAAACAGTAATAAAATACCTTTTAAAACAAAGCGATAACTAAAGGTTATAAACATAAAGATAACTAAAGCAATCACAAATATGAGTTTAGATTGACCGGCGATATTCTTATTTGTCTTCTCTCGCAGTTATCCGTATTATACTACCTCTCTCGTTTACCGTCATATTCCTTTCCCCCTCTCTCTCTTCGCCAACCTTTTTATCACTCTCCTTCTCTTTTCATCTTCATTGTTTCCTCTTCTCTCCCTCCACCGATGCCACCTTCACTCCTCCGTTCTTGCGCTTTCTCTCTCCACCTTCCTTCCGTTCATTTCTCTCCATTCGTATTCTTTTCTTTTTCCTTTCCTTTGCCTCTCTATCCTCTCCTGTATTTCTGTACCAACTCCAAATTTCTCTCTCTCTTTCTCTTTCCTCTCCTCTCTATCCATCCCCATGTCATCATCATTCCCCCTCATTCCCTCCCCCATTTCCCCCCTCCTCCCTTCCACTATCACCCCTCTCCATCCTCCCTAATACCCTTCCCTCCCCCCTCTCCTCCTTTCCCTCCCACCAACCTACATCTTCCCTTCTTTCCATCCCCTCCATCCCTCCTGCCCTCTCCCTACAACCTCCCCTCACCCACCCAAACGCCGTAAATCCCCCCCCCCCACCCCCACCCGACTCCAATCAAAACTCAATCCCGAAATTCGCCGTCAGGCCGCAGCCCCCTCCTCCTCTCCGCCCCTCGCCTCCCCCTCCCTCCCCCGCCTCCCTCCTCCTCCTCCGCCGCCTCCCCTCCCCTCCGCCTCCCGTCGCCTCCTCTCCTTCCTCCGCGCCGTCCCTCCTCCCTGTCCCCTCCTCCCCCCCCCGCCTCCTCCGTCGCTCGCCGCCGTCGTTAGCGAGCGAGCGAGTAGACGGAGGAGTGTCGGGCGCGATCGGCCGGCTTGCAATGCTGGCCTGAGTTCGCCCGTTTCATATGCTGCCCGACTCTGCTTCGGGTTAGTTAGGAGGCTGATATCACTCTTAGGGCTTGTTGGTTTGTCTGTCTGGCCGTCTGTGTGCCTGTGTGTCTGTCAGTCATCTGTTAGTCTGTCTGTTGGTCAGTCAGTCAGTTAGTAAGTCAATCTATCTGTCTGCCTGTAAGTCAGTCAGTCAGTCTATCTGTCTGTAAGTCTTTCTGTCTGTCTGTCTTGTCTGTAAGTCAGTCAGTCAGATCTCTCTATTGCATGTCCTTCTGTCTGTCTGT